GCCGATGCGGCTCGATGTGGGGCCCGATTTGTTTCACGTCTACGTCGCCGATGCATCGCCGACGTCGCTGATGCATCGCCGACGTCGACGATGCATCGCCGGTGGATCAGCGATGAGTCACCGATGCATCGCCGGTGTCGACGATGCGGTGCGATCCTCCGACCCCATCTAAGAGGCCTCTATCGATGCGCCGCCCCCTCTGGGAGGTCCCAGGCGTCGATGCCGAGATCTGACATTTTCTGCCTCGCTTGCCTATGGTTGTAGACCACGTGCGTGCTGCCACTGAGGGAAATGCCCTTATGTTGTTGGCGCTCGCAACGGAGGAGGAATCCAGTGAAATCCATCGAATCTGTGAAACCACATTTAGGGCCTCAAGATTCTGAAACTCAAGTATGTCAAACATACACTTAGAAAATGTGCTCGGCGCCGCTTCGGTGAGAACAATGGCGCACCACTATACAACGACCTCGTCGCTTTCACTGAAACACCTTGCGTGGGCGTCGAGGGGGTCTTGGAGAGAAGGGTGTCCATCGTGGCGCCATTTTATGCGTTGCGATGCGATGCAACGCAATGCGACAATGATACGCTAATGTATACTATGCTATGCTATGCTCTACAGTGCTGTGCTATGCTTCGCTGTGCTACGCCATGCAATTCTTTGCTACGCGGGCTACACATCTTATTACATGCTATGCTGTGGTGTGCAGTGCTATGCTCTGCTCTACTGTGCCATGCTGCGCGGGCTCCGCCTCCTCCTCCGCCCCCCCCCCCCGCGGCGCCCGATTCATCATCCGGTACAACCTGATCTTAGAGATCCCCGATGTGTTGGGCGTTACGTAATAATTGGGTGGGCGATAGATTGGGGGGATGAAGAAATCACCGAGCGCAATCCGCTACTCGCAAAGTGTTTGCTCGCAAACGCCCGAAAAGCAACACGGCTTCTTCTACGTAATTTGAACGTAGGCCCCCAGCGGCGGATGCAGGCCCATCTGCGAGTAGTTACTCTGCGAGCAGTGGTACGCGCTCGTCTGAGAAAGCTGCGCCTTTCGAGGCAAGGCCGCTAGGCCGTCAGCGTCCCCCCACTCCTCAGGAGGCTAGAAAAGACAGACACAATTAATCGTCAATCCCCAGGAAAATAGGGGGAAATATGGCAAGTGCGGGGGAAGAAAAAAACCCAGAAAATATGGGGAGTCATGTTATTTGTGTGTATTTCTTTGTGTGTTCCTGGGCCCCTTCAACTCCGTCTGCACTCTCTTCTCCATCATCCGCCCCCAAGCCTTGGGTCGGAATCTGCGGGTGCTCCCGAACGCTGGCCTTCGGCACAGGCCGCTGTGCCACTGGGGAGGTGGCGCGGCGGTCATCATCGGTGCGTGGCCCCTGGACTCCGAAGCCTCCCGAGACCCCCTCTGCCCCCCCCAAAAAAAATAAGTCTTGGGGCGGGATATGTTTTTCCAATCCCAGCAGTTTTCGTTCTGTCTCGGCCTCGGGGGGCCAGCCGCTCGCTGGCGTCGAACTTGGGCTCGGAACGGAAAGCTGTCCACGGGGAGGGGGTCGGGATTTCTGGGATCCTCCGTCCCATCTTCTATTGAGGGTCGAGACTTTTGGGAGCGTTGTTTTGGTCTTTTAGGTTCTCCGGGGAACTTCTCCCTTCCTGGTCTTGTGCCTCGTCTTTGTTTCTTCCTCCCCCTCCTCCTTGTATTATTATTATTATTCTTATCATCATCCTTGCTATTATTATTATTATTATTATTATTAGTAGCGTTATTAGTCTCATCATCATCATTATTATTATTACTATTATTCTTATTAGTATAATTCTTATTTTCTTCCTGGCAGGCAGCATGGCGCCACAGGCGTGGTCTGGCGTTTGGCAACCCACCACCCCGAGGGAGTGTCGCCCTCAACCTCATCGTCCCGGCCACCCGCAGCCGTTTTGGCTCAGGCCGCTCTGGCCCATGCCGCCAGGAGACGCCTGTATTCCCGCCGCAGCGCCCCTCCCGCACATCTATTAGGGCTGGTTTCCGAGCCTGCCCCAAAGAAGACAGGTCGACCCTCGGCGTCCGGCAAACGTGGGTTGGCGGTCTCCACGTCTAATTGGGCTTCCTGCCGTATCCCTCCCTCTTTCCCCCACAGACAGGGAGGGTGCGGGGAGGAAGGGCGCGAAGTCATAGAATGATGGTGATGATGATGATGATGATGATGATGATGATGATGATGATGATGATGATGATGATGATGATGCTGATGATGATGATGATGATGCTGATGCTGATGCTGATGCTGATGCTGATGCTGCTGATGATGATGATTATGATGATGCTGCTGTTCATTATGATGCTGATGCTGATGCTGATGATGATGATGCTGATGATGATGTTGATGATGATGACGACGATGACGATGATGACGATGACGATGACGATGACAATGCCGATGATGATGCTGATGATGATGCTGATGATGATGATAATGAGGAGGATGACGATGAGGATGAGGATGAGGATGAGGATGAGGATGAGGATGATGCTGATGCTGATGCTGATGATGATGATGATGATGATGATGATGCTGATGATGATGATTATGATGATGATCATGATGATGATGATGATGATGATGATGATGATGATGATGATGATGATGATGATGATGATGATGATGATGATGATGATGATGATGATGATGATGATAACCGCGACGACGACGACGACGATGATGATGAGGAGGAGGAGGAGGAGGAGGAGGAGGAGGAGGAGGAGGAGGCGTATGCATTCCCGCCGCAGCGCCCCTCCCGCAACACTCCTAGGGCTGGCCTCCGAGCTCGCCCCCACAAGAAGCCTCGGCGTCCGGCCCTCGCGTCCTGGGCGTCGGCAGCGCCTGCTGTGCCGGCGGGGGGCTTCGAGGAGGAGTGGGTGTGGATACTACACAGGAGACCCGTGCCAAGAAACACTCTGCTTGCCTCCAGGTTGCCTTGGGTTTCTTGGGTTTCGATGGTTTTGCTACGGGAAGCGCGACGTTCCCACACCAAAAATCAATGGACGTCCTGGGGTCTCAGGGTTGGGTTTCTTGTGGAAGGTTTCTTGTGAACTGGCCCCCACCGTATCGCGGCCGGGGCCGCGAAGTCGCCCAGATCTTCGGGAGCCTTGGCCCGAGGGTCAACAATGCAATTCGGAGGAGGAGGAGGATGTACCCATACCTCTGTCCTGTCCTCGATTCCCCCCATTTTGGGGCCTACTCGGAGGCCCTCATCGCCACCGTCGGATTCGCCTCGAAACTCTGGTCAGAAGGCACTCCGGGAGGTCCGGGGAGTAGTGGCATCGGTGCCTTTTGGTCTCCCCAGCAACCTGGTGCGGGATCCTGCAGAGGCAGGGTTGCACTGGCCCGGGTCAGCGCGAAGGATCTTGCAGGATTCTGCAGGATTTTGCAGGATCGCGCGACGCCCGACTGACCCAGGTTTGGATTGACCCGGGTCAGTTTAGGAGGAACAAAAACACACAGACACAATGAATCGTCGATTCCCCAGAAACTATGGAAAACTATGGGACGTGGGGGGGAAGACGATAGTCGAAAGAAACATATGGAAAACTGTGGGGAGTCTTGGGATTTGTGTGTGTTGCTTTTTGAGTTCCTGGGCCCCTCATCAGTGTGGCCCCGGGACTCACAGGCTTTTCTTCTCGCCCCGAGAGGCCCCCGGGCCTCCGAGCCCTCGTCCGCGCACGTTCCCGGGGCCACCGGTGCGCGCCCGCCTCCTCCTTCTGCATCCCCCCCCATTCTCCTTCTCCTCCTCCGCCTCCTCCTCCTCCTTCTCCTCCTCCTCCTCCTCCTTTCCCCCTCCTCCTCTTCTCCTCCCTCCTCCTCCTCCTCCTCCTCCTCCTCGTCCTCCTCCTCCTCCTGCTCCTTCTTCCCCTCCTCCTCCTTCTCCTCCTCCGTTCTTCGTCCTCCTCCTCCTCCTCCTGCTCCTCCTCCTCTTCTCCTCCCTCCTCCCTGGCCGGCCTCGCCCGCCGGCCAGGAGAAGGCAGGTGTGCCGATGCCGCTGCTCCACGGGGCTCTCCCCGGCTGCGTTCTGATCAGGACGTCGAGGAGAATCCATCGGTGGCCACGTGTGAGCCCTGCCCCTGCAGTCAACCCGCGGAGTAAGGATGATCGGGCGAAGAGAACTATGCACATGCACCGATCCTGGCAAGGCCCATCCTTGACCCAGGATCGGTGCATATGCCTTCCTGGCCAAGGTAGGAGGGCGTATGCACCGATCCTGGGCTGAGGATGGGCCTGGCCAGAATCGGTGTATGTGCATAGTTCTCTTTCCTCTAGATGAGCAACTTGTCCTAGGTTACCCTTGCATCCTTGCCCCTCCGGTCCATCCCTGGCAACTTTCGCTAGCCAGCCCCTTAGGGTACCCTTGGGGCGGGCTTTCCAAGGCCCTTGCATCCTTGTCGTGCATCCTTACTCCGCGGGTTGACTGTACCCCCCTTCGATGTCTGAGGTGAGGTGGGTTGGGGGATTCACTTCGTTCGGGAGCTTCCGAGCGGAGTGATCCCCCCCACCCCCCCTTCAGAAACCGTGCGAGGCGGGGGCAGGGTTCACATGTGGCCGCCGAGTCCAGCCGTGGCGACGGGGGCCTCCCAGGAGGCCCGAAAAAAGGCGAATACGAGGGGAGGGTGGCGGTATCGGTGCCGCTTCCTCCTCCGTTCGCCCCCCTTCTCGCCCCCAGGACGTCGAGGCCAATCCCTCCTGGCCGTCCCCGACGCTTCTGTGGGAAGGTACATTCTCCTTCAAGCAGTGGCGAAGCGTCTTGTCTTACCGATAGGCCCACCAAACAATATGTTACTAAGTTTTTTGAGTTGCACAACATGTTCCTAGAACATTTCTGGCTGAAGCCGTCTTGCTTTCATCTGTCGGGCTCACGCTCCAAGATCATTGTTTTGATTATTCGAAGATGCCTTGGTGCTAAGAACATTTCACGGTTGGCCCATGGGGATACCGGGACGGTCGGTCTCTGCTCAACTCCTCTCTGACCCCCCCAACACCCCCCGGTGGCGCCTCCCTGCATGCGGCGACCCTGCCCGCGGCCCCCGGCCGCCGCGAGTCTGCCGCGGGTGCTGCTGGCGCTGGCGCTCCCGGCGTTCGCCAGCTTGGCGCGCCCAGCGCTCCCCGCGGGGGCCGCGGCGGTGAGGATCAGGGGCAGCGATATGGGGGATCCCAGACATGATCGCGTCTTTTAAATTACCCCAGTGCGACCCTACCTAGAAGTTGGAGCCCCTAGGAAACCAGCATTAGTTGCTATGCTATGCCATGTCATGTCATGCTAAGCTGCGCTATGATATGATATGCTATGATATGCTGCGCTATGCTATGATATGAAATGCTATGCTATGCTAGGCTATGCTACATCATGCTGCGCTGTGCTATGCTAAGCTATGATATGATATGCTATGCTGCGCTATGCTATGTTATACTATGCTATGCTGCGCTATGCTATGCTATGCTATACTGGGCTATGCTATGATAGCTGTGCTGCGCTATGCTATTGCTACGCTATGCTATGCATTGCTGTGCTCTGTTATGCTAAAGCTCGGCGAAGCTAAGATGAAGGTAAGCAATGCTAATATAAACCTGAGCTAAGATGACGCTAAGCGAAACTAAGATGAACTAAGCTAAGCTAAGATGAGATAAGCACCGATAAGCTAAGGGGCCGTCACTGGGGGAACCGCGGGGCGGATCCTGGGGGAACCGCCCTGGGCGGGACCCACTGCCTGGCCCCTTTGAGAGTAGGCAGAGCCTAGGTAGGGAACCTCAGGACCGTCAACCGGCCCAGGAGGAAAAACCGGCCCCAGGGAAAGGGTCGGGACTTCCAACGCCGTCCTGAAAAAATCAGGACGTCGCATGTCGGGGATAGGCACAGGGGTGGAAACATGGACCCCCAATCGCCCATGCATCGCCGACAGGGGCCCCGTAGCCCCAGCCTGCCCAGGGACGGGCGGATTCGCTACCGGGGGCCCATCGCCGATCTATCGGCGATGTATCGCCGATTCCAGGTCGGTGTTCCCCCCCTTATGCTAGTCTCAAGTCGGGCATGTCCCTCTGCAGGAGGACTATTCAACAATAGTCAAACAATAGTCCGGGGACGACTTTTCTCGTATTATTGAACGTGTTTTGACTACTTGTCATTTCTCGTCCAGAATCTGCCTGCATGAGGACATGCCCGACCTAATGCTAGTCCCCCACCTATCGCGGCCCTCCAGAGGATCGCGGCCAGCGAGGCCGCGAGCCTGCTCGGGGTGGCCGTGGGCACCACGGGGGGCGCGCTGAAGACAGCCCCGGGGGGGCGTCCGCCGGGGGAGGTGCCCGAGCCAGGGGTCACGTCGGGCTCGAGATGCGAAGCTCGAGGTGTTCGGATGTGCTCGTCGGTTCTCGTCGGCCCTCCAGCCTCGGGATGCAATCCTGAAGGGGAACTGGGACACACAAATAAATACACACAAATAAACATATCCCCCATATTTTCCCATATTTTCTGGGTTTTTGTCTTCCCGCCCAATTCCCATATTTTCCCAAAAATCGACGAATAATTGTGTCTGTGTGTTTTTTCCCCTCCTGAAATCCAGCGGCTGCGCCTTGCAGAGATCGTTCCAGGAGTGCCCGGATCGTCCCGAGCGGCCGCCAGAGCGGCCGCCAGCGAACACCAAGGGCCTCCCCAAGGAACAGCGTTAGGGGGCGGATGGGTTCCGGGGGAGGGTGCGTCGACCCCCCCAAAACCACCGCATGGGGGATCGATCTTCGTGGACCTCCGCAGGCGGTGGATATGGATACATTGGGGCCCCCAGGGGTCACAATACATCCATATCCACCGCTCGCTAGGGCACCATGACGGCGGTTCCCAGACGGTGCATACGGATAGCTCCCCGCCTCGCGGAGCGTTCCCCCTCACTGAGGCCCAAGCATCGAGGGATGAATGGCTCGAGGGTTGAGATGCTTTCAGTTGGACGCCTTTCGCTTTCTTTGGGCATCCTGGAGGCGCTTCGTGGCCACGGCTCGCTTCCCTTCGAGACTCTGGCTATGTGCCGTCCTGGTTTGCCAGGGGTGGCGACTGCACGGGATAGAGGAGGAGGAGGAGGAGGAGGAGGAGGAGGAGGAGGAGGAGGAGGAGGAGGGGGAGGGGGAGGAGGAGGAGGAGGAGGCGGAGGCGGAGGAGGAGGAGGAGGAGGAGGAGGAGGAGGAGGAGGAGGAGGAGGAGGAGGAGGAGAGGGAGGGGAGGGGGACAAGCTAGGTGCGCTCGCGTCATATCTGACGTCCTACCCCTCCCTCCCATCCCTTACCATGGCGCTGATTTTCTCTATCCGCGGACGCGTGTCGTAGCGGACCTGTGGCTCCGCGCGCGCGTGCGTAGTGGGTGGTGGTGCACGTGCGTGCGTGCGTGCGTGTGTGCGTGGTTGTGGTGGTGGTGGTGGTGGTGGTGGTGGTGTGGTGGTGGTGGTGGTGGTGATGGTGGTGGTGGTGGTGCTGGTGGTGGTGGTGGTGCTGCTGGTGGTGGTGTGATGGGCTGGTGGTGATGGCTGATGTGGTGCTGGTTGGTGGTGGTGGTGGTGGTGGTGGTGGTGGTGGTGGTGGTGGTGGTGGTGGTGGTGGTGGTGGTGGTGGTGGTGCGGCGCGGTGGTGCGGCGCGGTGGTGGCGGGCGGATGGGCGCGCGAGAAAGAGGCCCGCGCTGGGGCGAGAACGCCATCCTGAACGACGGAGGCCAAACACCGATCCGAAAATGAGGCCCACGCTGGAGCGGGAGCACGATTCGGAACGATTCGGGAGCAGAAATGAGGCCGGCGCCTCAGCGAGAGCAGCATTTAGAAAAAAACACAAGCGAAAACCCAACTCCGGGGAATCCGGTG